TGGCAGGTTGTCAAGATTGTGGTCCCCTTGCATCATACATCCCCAATATTTCAGGTAACCCTCCCCCCCACCCTAAACCGTTAACCAAACCCTACACCCTAAAACCCTAAAACTCTTTTCCCATCCTATACCGTCCACCTCAAAGACCTCACAAAGGCTTCAGGATCTCGGAGAATTTGGAAGTCAAGGAGGCATGGGCTTTGCAAACTTAATCCAGGGTTTAGGGTTTAGGGTATAGGGTTTTGGGGTTTAGGGGTTCAGGGGTTTAGGGTTTAGGGTTTAGCCTAAACTACTGTTGATGGATGAAATCTTGCACCACCTAGGGGCCCTAAACTACTGTACTTCCTGGGACTTTAAGGTGGTGCAAGATTTCCTCCATCAACAGTAGGGGCCCCTTTTTGGGGGATCGCCATGAGGATTATCGCGTTTGGGGTCTGTAGTTGAGTCCCCCCATTTATGGAAACTACCACGTTGACCTAGCCATTCGGAAGCCAAGGAGGGTTTAGGATTTGGGGGAATTTTTCAGATGTTTTTCAAAGTGCGACACGCAATGACAATGCAGCGACCACACAGATAAGAGATCTGAAGCATGGCCACAATGCTCCCCGCGCTGTTCTGCATCTCACAACCACGATGGAGGCACCCTGGGGACCCTAAGGACAGAGGTAGATTGCAGGGTCCCACACGGGAAATCTTTGATAATTATTATTTCGATAAGCCTCGACCCCTGAATCTGCAACAGTGGAATTGCCTGCCATGTCCTGGAAGATTTTCTTCAGCTTCTCGTTCTCTTCGCGAAGCTCTCGCATCAGTCGCTCCTGCTGCTCCGGAAAAGCTGCTTTAGGAGAAACTGCTCCAGGGCTTGGGCCTTAAGAGTTGTTATCCTCATATGGGAGTTTCCCCAAATTAGGGGTACCATTTTGGGGGTCCCAAGAATAAGGACAGTAGTATTTTGGGGTCTATATTGGGGTACCCCTATTTGGGAAATTACAATATTGAACTCAGGCAAACCAACACAACCACAACTCAACGCGGCTGATTGCAGCTGCATACACCCCTTGCTCCCCTCGCTCTGAAGCAGTTAGCAAGTAGAGTGGTCTGCCTGGAAGCACCTCGCATCTTCAACAGGCTTCGAGACCATGGCTTCACAACGCTTGAATACATGGCTTCCATTTAACGTCCGGTCGCCTGAGGGTTTTCGTTGACCACAGCGTGATTCCTGACGTCCACAACGCAGGCTTAGGGTTTGGGATTCAGATATGATCATATAGCTATATTGGTAATAATGACAATAAGAAAATTCTTAATACTGATAGCAGTAGCAGTAAAAACAATAATAGTAGCAGTAAGAAAATAATAACAGTAGTATTTGTGATAATAGTAATGCTGGTGATAACAAAACTAATAATATTTGTTAGAATTATCAATAAGAGGCATCATAATAATCGTGGTACAAATACTGACAAATGGGGATTGGGTTCAGGGTTTCGGAATACAGCTCCACATGCCTCACAATTGAGCCTGATGAGGCTGAAACATTGACAAAATCGAGGAAAATTGTGTCTTTGGGTTTAAGATTCCGCAAAGATCATTATAAAGATGGGAATATCGACAACAGTAATACTACTAATAGAAAGCACAATATGCTATCTTTGGGGGGTGTTCAACCGATGTACTTCTCGGGCTGCAGTTGTCCATTACTAGCCAGCAACAAGTTCCTCATGTGGTTCTGTACAATCACCCTGCAACTTCCATGCTTTAGGGCGTCCTCTATTGGTACCAAAGCAGAGGGAGTAGTAGCAATGAGAATTTGATAGCAACAGTAGAGTATCAGTAGTAGTGGACTGTGCCTTGTACAAAATCTGAAGCACGAATTGTAGACCCATAGACCCTGAGGCCAAACCCAACCCCCAAGCTGCTAACCTTCAGCCCTATAATGGCAATATTAATGGTGCGGGTAGTTAGAATAAGAATAAACTCGATCGTAACCAAAGTACTAGAAGGATCACAACAAAAGAACAAAACAAATAGCAATGATAGTATCTGAACTCGGAACTTGACCAGAACCCTTAGGCAGCAGGCTTAATCTTCTTCGCGCGGTCAGCATAGCGCAGCGTCGACAAAGTCTCCTGCACAGCCCGGGACGGGGGGAGTGAATAAAAGCACAAGTGTTTGGAGATTTGGCATTAGGGTTTAGAGGTTATAGTCCCCCTTAAGTAGATAGAATATTGCTTTGGGTATATTATAATATCTTATTATGATAAACCCAAAGCAAAAATCTATCTACTTAAGGGGACTATAATTCTAGCACAGGGATACATGCAGTCATAGCCCAATTATTAGCCTTTTGGGTGACTCACGAACGCCTCTAGCGGAGTTGTGAAAAAAAAGTTCTTAGCTGGTTAGAATTACCCCGAACTCCGACTAGGCGTTCTGCACTCACGATGCAAAAAATCTTGGCGAAGGAGGTTGCATTGTTTGAGGTCATGTGAACTATAGGCTAAACTCCTAGTATCCCCCTTAGTATCTCCTATAGTAGGCCCCTATATAATCCCCTATATAACCCCCTTTAAAGAGTTTAGACTATAGCACATGTAATTCTGCAAGAAAACATGATGGGATGGAAGTACAAGGCCGGATTCTAAGGTCTGAATTCTAGGCCCCTAGTAAGTGCCCTGAATCCTCGGGTGAGTATGTACATATTCTACAAGCCCTAGAAAATTCGACGAACCCAAGTGAGGGCCCATAGCTACAACCTAGGAAACAGGTAGGGCACATGGCCAGGACATTAGATCCAAGACTTGAAGTTTGTACACATAATGTTTGGAACCCTAGGTTTTGGGTCCCAAATACCCTTATTAAGGGCCATATTCCATGGTTTAAGGACCCAAACCCAAGGGTACAAACCGTAAGGGTACAAAGGAAAAATCCCTGATTAGATGGAAGGAAAGCTGCTCAAGTGTAAGTACATCGTCCTCGTGATTCGAAGAGGCCGGTGACAACGCGCAAATCCTTTCTTGCAAGGAAAGCTTCAGGGTTTAAGGTTTAGGGCTTTCATTGTGTTGGGCACTGAGGAGTGTAGGAAACCCGAAACCCCAAAACCTAAACCCCTTCAGGGGGGTCCAGGGGTAAAGCCTGAAGCTCCAACCTCCCTAAGCGAACGCCACACCCTACAGCCCGAAACAAAGAACCCCAGACCCGGAAATTGCAAACCTGCAAACAAACCTTACACCCAAATCCCTAAACCCTAAACCCTACACCCTAAATCCCTAAATCCCTAAATCCCTAAACCCTAAACCCTAAATTCCTAAACGCTGATCCCAAAACCTCGGGCACTGACCCCACCAAGTACCAGTCAAAAACACGGGTACTATTGAGGGCTATGTATGCGCATATTATACTTATTATACGACTGTTACTGAGTATTGGGCAGTATCCAACCCGACCCGAATTTGCCTAGGTGAGGTCGAACCAAGTAAGATGTTCTTCTTTATATAAAATGCTATACCCAAAAGGAGGATATAGTCTTACTCTAGTTTGGGGATAAGAACCTGATCTGAACACTACTCAGGTGAGGTGAAATATATTCCTGAACCCTAAACCCGAAACCCAAAGCTCTACACCCTAAGCCCTAAACCCTAAACTCTTAACCCTAGGCCCTAAGCCCTAAACCCTTTACCCAGGTGAGGTGCATGATGGTCTTGCTAGAGCCGCCCAGGGCGTTTTGAAGCAGCCGGGTGAGCTTGGACTCGCGATAGGGGATGACGACCTTATTGCGGTTTAGGGTTTAGGATTTAAGGTTTAGGGTGTAGGGTTTAGGAAATTCTCAGAAAACTACCTACATAATCCTGAAGGGTACCCTCTAGTAAACTCCTTGGTGTCGCCATATATGCCTCGAGTACTGAGGCAGAGCCCAGCTTTGAGAAGCCTCCGAGAGTTTGAGTTTTTGCGAGTCTTGCCTAAGGTATATAGGTTATATAGAGTGTGTAGGGTATGCTTCAAGGGAGGGCTTTGGGGCTTTCACCGTTGGGGGGGGGGAGAACGCACAGTCTGGGTTTTGAAGAGTGTAGACCTTGGTACGTGGCTAGCGTGGACGGATAACGGGCATGCTTCGATCTTGGCACTACAAGTGTCACAAGACTGTGTAATCATCTTCCCGGATGTTCCCAAACGACCCTAAACCCTAAACCTTGACGTGGTCACAGCCCTCAAGAATCCTTGCACTATTCATGGTGATCCCTCTTTTGCTGACAAGGCGCATTTTTCTTCTTCTCACCCCCGCGATCTGCTAGCTTCTCGATGACATTGCCTTGGATTTCTGGTGACTTGAATGGCCGAAGCAAGCAAAAAGGCCTTTTTTAACACTATTACAGCTAACATTGCTGTTACCATTCCCATTACCATTTCCAATGCTCTTAATATGACTATGACTAAGACCATGACTATGACCATGGAAAGAGACGATGCGTGCTTGTAACAGAAATCAATGCTGCATCCTAAACCCTAAACCCTAAACCCTAAACCGCTGCATCCTATGCGCCAAGCAGACCTACTTGGAGGCCCATGGGACTTAGTAACCACTTAAACCTGGGCTTACAACCCTACTTATAATTCCCCTAAAAGGGCTTATAGGGGCTACCCCCAATTATAAGCAGGGTTATAATCCCATTTATAAGGGGTTACTAAGTCCAATGGGCCTCCAAGTAGCAGAGTAAGGTTTGAAGCTATGGGCCGCTCTCCCTAGGAACCTTAGGAGGGGTCACCCTGTAATAGTGACTATAAGGATCATATTAGGGTCCTACTATATTCCTACTATACGACTACTATAGGGTGGGGGGTCCTCCTAATATATACCCACTACATACCATGGAAATCCCTATGAAAGCAAGTTAGGACCCAGAGTCAGGACTCAGGAGACAGGTAAGAGCCCATAGCAGCAGTGCCCCCTTGGCACTTAGGATGCGACGTAGAGACTTCTGAAGGAAGCCGACCTCCCGATCCAAGATCCTCAAACCCTGAACAGCCCTAGACCCTAAACCTTAAATAATAGTTTCCATTTTCTTTTCCATTCTCCCTATATTACCCTATATTATCCCAATATTAACAGAAAACCCTAAACCCTAAACCCTAACCCTAAACCCTAAACCCTAAGCCCCATGAAACGCGCGCCGCTGGGGTGCCGAGAGCACTGAGCGATTTGTTGATGTGCGACCCTTCCTGGCACCAGGGGTTTAGGGTTTAGGGTTTAGGGCTTTTGGTTTAGGGTTTAGGGTTTAGGGTTTGGGGTTTGGAGTTTAGGCACCAGAGAACAGCAAGGTCAACTCCGACCAGGTAGGGATGTTGCCCCAACAAGGGTTTAATCTTTGGGATGTAAGGCTTAGGGCTTAGGGTTTATTACCCCAACAAGGGTTTTAGCTTTGGGATGTAGGGTTTAGGTTTTACGGAGATTTCCCCCCGAAATGGAAAGTGAAATGGAAAAGAGAATGGAAAATGACCTGGAAGCTGGGATTATATAGGCGCTTTATGGATCAGGGTCTCCCAAAATTAGGGGTCCTCTTTTGGTCTTTTGGTGGATGCCATCACAAGGATTATACTTTCGTGGGGTCTGCATTGGGGTCTCCTATTTCTGGGAACTACCATGTACGTCATCTGTTAGAAGATGGCCCTAAACCCTAACTCACAAGCATGATCCGAACCCTGAAAACGCCCTGCTGCTAGGAGTCCAGAAGCTGGGCAGGCAGGCTACGAAAGGCTGGCTCAATCCATGCACTGCGATAAGGGACTACTTGAAGGGTCAGGGGGGATTTAGTAAGTAGGTTAATAATGGGGACATCTGGGGTTTATGATATTGCTTAAAAGGGTTATAAGCATACTTAATAAGTCCCCCTGACCCTCCACGTATAGGCTACAGCTTGCTTAGCATTTGAGGGGGTCCCGATAATTCAATTTGAATTCCTCCTCGGCATCCCTGACCACATGAGGTTTTACAAAGCGGAAAGGATCAAGGATCATGCAGGGGATCATTTTCAGAAGCTCCCAGGTCAATTCTAGCGATCTTTTGAATAGGGTTTTGGGATGTAGCATGCTGCAACTATAGAAGGCTCTTATAGGAAAGAAGACTGGCACCAATTTAGGCATCTACACCCAGCAAACCACAATATATTCATCATCTTTTTTTCCTTGCATTCCTAATCACTGAAAAGAACATTGCCAACTTGAGATATGTTTGAAGGACCGTGTGCTAAACTTGCGCAAGAACTTTATGGGAACATGGCTAGCAAAGGATCAGGTTTGTCGTCCTGCAGCTTAGATCCGTTTCGTGCTGCAAGAAGGGGAAAAATAGGAAAAGGTCCAGCTATACTGCAGTCTATATGATAGGGCTGGCTGTTCGCCTTCATGCAAATGTGGAACTCCGGAAGGGACCCTCCAAAGATTACGCGCCTTCAAGTGAACAGCGTTTTTTTGGTGGTTGAACCTAGTAAGATTATATTCCTTATGTAAAATACTATAGCTCAAAAGGAGAATAGAATCTTACTCTATATTGGGTACCATAGTATCCCCAAATACTACTCAAGTGGGGCCTAGGAGGGGGTCCGTGCTTGTTTCGAATCTGCACCACACTAGTTCTCTATCAGTCCTGGTTCTGACTGGCGGCAGATGTATCCAAAGATACCAAGGCCAATAGAACTTCTGAAGAGCCCTTCAGAGCAGCTGCAGACATCCGAAAATTTCCGCGAAAAAAAAAAAATGTTTGGTGTGCTTCTGTATCGAACTTCTGTGCCAATAACACATGATTGGCCCGCAATCCCTGAGCCCCCGACTTTCTTTTCAAAAGACCCTATCTGCACCCTGTCCTTGAGCCGATCTCCCGTGGCCCCTGTCTGACCGGCCTGGGCATGTTACGTTTCCTCCCGCTCTGCTCGTAGTGTGGTTCATGATGTACATGTAACATCATATGAGTAGTGTTTTTTTGGTGGTTGAACCTAGTAAGATTATATTCCTTATATAAATAGTATACCCCAAAAGGAGGATATAATCTTACTCTATAATGGGTACTATAGTATCCCCAAATAAAATACTACTCATATGTCAGCAGTAGCAGTAGCAGCAGGAGTAGGTGCAGAAAGCGGAAGAGGAAGAGTGCACGATCACCCCGATGAAAAATTTGTGTAGGCCTTGTGCATTGTAATTTACGAGGTGCTCACTGGCAATCCTGCTTGGATATAGCTTTCGCGGAGCTGTAGGCAGGTCGATCTGTATTCAGAATGCAAGTCCTCATGTTGGCCTGACTTCTATGCAGAACATGAAACAGACGGGGTCATCTCAAGTTTAGTATATAGCTTGCAGCTAGCATGTGCTAAGCTCAAACTCAAGAGACTCAAGAGCTCTTGTTCGGGTTGGTATGACTTTTGAGCGAAGGACCATGCTGCGAGAAGCGGTAAACATGAAGGCAGGCATTCAAATGAGGGCTGCAAGCCCCCACAAGGCGCCCTGAAAGTCCTATGGACACTGTAGGCCGTTGATTTGTAGGAGCCATGTAATTAAGTCGTATAGATATCAAGCCGCGTAGGCCCCCAAATCTTCTCAAGATTCCATGACACTTGCCTGTTCAAGATATCGAAATTTCAACTATAGGTACCCCAAGACACACCAGTCATTTTGGGAAGCTTGCCCTGCCTGATGAAATGACCCCATCTATGAAAGCTGCAACTCTCTGTGTAACACCCATGTAACCTCTGCAAAAGCAACACATGCTCTCAAGAAAACCCCTCTTGGTGGCCTTCTCGCTCCCAGCCAGGTCAACCTCAAAAGAGGGCAAAGGTGAACTATAATGAGATCACAACATAACACTGGGTTGGCCCCTAAAAACCTTTGAAAAATGTGAGTATACAGGGTCCCTTAGTAAACGCATTAGGGCAAATATTAGATATCCCAGAACCTACCCAGAACAGGACCATAAAAATCGTAAATGGCAGTGAGGGGATTTCTAGGGAGGATGTGGATTTTGGGGGTTGGGGTACTGAAGGCAATTCATGGAAGCGTATAGGGTTAGGGCGGCTGACGGTTTAGGATTTCCTGGGTTTAGGGCTTGAGGTTTGGGCTCCCTACAGCTCCGTGCGGCTTGGGAATTCAGAAGCAGCTGTAGGTGGGTTTAGGGTTTAGGGTTTGTGCCAATCTACAGAGTTGTCTGGGCTTGTGTCGGGATTCTAAGGATCTATAGCGTCGAGTTGAATGCCAGTGAGGGCTGCAAGGGTTTGGATTGGAAACCCTAAACCCTAAACCCATCTCAGACCCCCAACAGCTCTGATTGAGCGTGGGTGGTCAGAGCAAAGAGGCACAGAGGTTTGTGTCAAGCCGCCAATGACGCGTCCTGAAATCCTGGAAACACTGAACCTCAATCCCTACATGTCCCGAACTACTCAAAAAGTGTTCCTATAAGAGCAACAACGAAACTGACAAACATGATTAAACTAAATTTCGGAAAATAGGTCAGAGGAGTAAATAGAAAACTCTAAAAACATTAACTGGAAGCCCAGCCACTAGGTTGATCATCGACACGGTGGCAGAGCCATCCTTGATGGCCTCTGACAGGACTCTTGAAGGGAGGATGCTGCTACATCGGAGTTGCTTAGGATTTAGGTTCTGGGGTTTAGGGGACTACCGCCCCAACTTTTGTCAAACCTAACTAATGAGGATTACTAATTCTAAAAGATCGGGACCGCAGCTTAGAACAACCCACATGGGAATTCTCTTTGAGGACGCAAAGTTCCTATGTTCCACTAAACCCTAAACACTAAGCACTCAACCCTGAACCCTGCTAAACCTTCAACCCTTCAACCAGGGTGTTCTGCCAATATGGGATGTTGCAATGGACTTGGTAAGGAACGGGGGATCGGGCTATAGGGACTATTAGAACTACGCATGGCTACTAGAGGAAATGCCTCTGATGCCATGCCTACTAAGCACCAGACAACCAGGTCCTTTGGTACACCAGGTGTTGAAATAGATTCTTCGCTCTTGCAGAGTAGGGGTGGGATATTCTGGGTTTGTCAAGGACCCAAGGTACCATAACATGGATATATGGTCAAGGGTAGGGTTGCTGTGTAACGGCAGAATAACTAAGTTTTAGGCTGAGGGATTCAGCAGCTCCATTTCCACAGGCAGGGTCGGTTTTGGGGCAGGGTTGCTGCACGACGAGTAGAAGAGCTGTTATCACGGCTTCCAGAGAACCATCATACGGACTTGTTTGAATAAACCACGATAGAAGAAGCTTCATAAGCAGACGCCAGTCGAACTCGACGATCTTGAACCTGAAGCCCACAGCATCACCGTATTCTATAAGTGACATATTACCGTTGCAATAAAGTTAAAGCAATGCGAATCTTCAGAGTTCTCATGATTGCGTATATGGAACCTTCATTTGCTCAAAACTACTAATTCTATCCTGTTTTGGACTATAAGCATATTCACCTGCGATCATCTTGCCCATTGCAAAGATCAGAGTGCCTCAGAGCATCCTCAAAATTGTAGCTAGGGGCCCCAAAATCGTGTGTAGTCCCCACATACCCCTGGGCCAACCCATTTTTGATGGCAAAGAGAATATCAGCTCCGCACAATCCCTCCATATCCCGAGGGTCTCCAGCGGAACCCCTATTTTGAGAAACACGCACTCCATTGAAATCCTAGACCCCTCAACCCATTCTCACACATTACGTGATCCCCCCCCCCCACCGGCAGTTAAAAAAAGGGATACTGGAAAGTATCCCCAGGTGTCTGCATACTCTTTCCATACCAAAATAGTGGGGTGCTTGGACCACCCAACATCCCACAATTTTTGCGGCTAGCCCATATGGAGGGTTGTCAAAATTGTAATCGTTCAGGGCTTAGGGTTTAGGCGTTATGTCGGGGTTTTACACGCTTTCTAGCGAGATATGATCCTAAACCCTAAACCCTAAGCCTAAACCCTAAACCCTAACTCTAGGCCCCTAGAAAACAAAAACATTACTGCGCCTTGAACTCGATGATCTGCACAGTGTGTGCCCGGCTGGAGGTCGCATTCATCAGAGTCGAGCCAACGGTGCCTCAGTTTCCCAGACCCCCTAAAGGATCCAAAAAATGGAACCCCCCCCGATATGAACCCATTACTGCATTGGGGAAACTAGGGGATTATTGAACCCTAAGCCCTAAGACCTAAGCCCTAAACCCTAAAGCCCATGCCCCACCCTATACACCCCAACCCAGACCCCCTAAAGGATCCAAAAAATGGAGGGCTTAGGTCTTAGGGCTTAGGGTTTAGGGTTTAGCGCTTAGGGTTTAGGGTTTAGGGCTTAGGGTTCAGGGTTCAGGGCTTAGGGCCCATGGTTTAGGGTTGAGGGACTCGAGACAGGTCGTGTCAGGAGCTGATTAAAACATGAAGATACACCTGTCTCTCATGGCGGTGCGAAAGAAGACCCGTGTTGCCACAAACGAGAAACAGCCACTCTGCTTGCAGTGATACCAAGCCTGGCTACATAGGCATACTACAAAAGACTAGTAACATAAAAATCTAAAGCAAGAGGCGGATATAGGTTGTAAGCTGGATATAACTTGAGCGTTCTCCTACCCAGTACCAAGCAAAAGCAACGCCCAAAAAGGAGCCTGCAGACTAATTCTGTAGGGTTTAAGGTTTAAGGTTACTACCCCGCTAGACAAGGTCTGATCGGGCTCCGTGTTTGTTCAATGGTACGGTCTGAACCCAAAACCCAGGGCGCGAAACCCTGAGCCCGAATCCTGCTAAATCCCGGACCCTACATCCTCAAACCCTGAACCCTACACACCCTGAAACCCTGACCCTTCCACCAGGTTGGCACTTCTGGAACCCGTGGACAGAATCAAAAAACACTCAATAAGGAATATGAAAAGGGGAGGTGCTCTTTGATTGTTGGGGCGTTCGCCCCCAAATGACTTCCAACAACAAAAAGAGTTCCAACCCGCGTTTAGCCTAAGCCGTACATTCCCAAAACCCTGAAACCCCCCAAAACCCAGCCAGGTCACGATGCTCCGTCGCCTCTTCGATCGTCGTCTCAATTGCCTGCTGGCACTGGGCACTTGTGGCGTTCGCAGGATGTGAGCTGGGGATTTCATGAGGGCTTTGGAATGTTTGGCGTTGACGGTTGTAAGGCTTGGAAGCGAAGATTTAAGGCTCAGGCCTAGCATCGAGAAGGATCAAGTTTTCCAGTTCGAGATCATATGCTTCGTTCAACAAGACATTCCAACCGGCAGCCTCGTAGCACTCGACAGGTCTCTTGATGACCCCGTCAATGTAGATTCCCAACGCCTGCAGCCATTTGAAATTGAGTTCTGGGTCCCAGGTGTAGGTGTAAGGATACAAGCCCATAAATGCATACATGTTCAAGGAACTGGGATTGACGGGTTGGTGTTGAAGGCCTCTGCCACCGCCGGCGATTGTAACGTGTGAGCGGGTCAAGGCACCCATGCTCCGGCTCAACTTGCTAGCAACCCTAAATACAAACCTTGAACCGTCAGTATTGATAAACAATTCCTCCATGCCACTAGCAAGTATCAGGCTTTCAGGCTTAAGTGTTGTTTTCTCACAACCTTCAAAACATAAGTATGCTCGCCGAAGAAACTGAGGCCCCTGAACCCTAAATCCCAAACCCCAAACCCTAAACCCTAAACCCTGAACCCTGAACCCTGAACTCTGAACCCTAAACACCAATTGACTTGAAGACTTGAAGGCAACCACCACGCCTAGGGGATTTTGCTTTTAGCCCTCACCTTGCTGGTTGCTGGCTTGGGGTTTAGGATTTAGGGTTTAGGGTTTAGGACTTAGGGTTTAGGGGTTAGGATTTAGGGTTTAGGGTTTAGGGGTTAGGGTTTAGAGTTTAGGGTCTGGGGCGTAGGGTGTAGGGTTCAGTGTGAAGAAATGAAAAAGAAAACCGACACCACTATTTGGGGTTTAGGGTTTAAGGTAGTGAGCGAAGGAATGAAGAGCAAAATAAGAGTAAAATGGCAAGTAATTACTATGCTCGAGAATCAAATAAGACAATGCAATGGAAGCTTGGCTTTTATAGGGGGTATACAGGGATACGTATATATATAAATATATAGATATATGTCATACTGGAAGGCGAATGGACATGAAAACTATTATGTTAATGGAGCCGTCGGAATACGGTCTTCCACCCCCGACGAACCAACAGCAAGATTTTCACCCTGCAAGACCTACAATGCCTTTGTACAACTGACATTCCTAAACCATCGGTAATAGACCTTAAAACTGAAACCCCAGACCTCCAACGTCACATGCCTGACTCCCTCCGAACGACGCAAGAACCAAAATCAGCAAAGTGGCCTTGGACTCTCCTTGGATAAGCGAATTGAACGTATGGGGCTTTGGGAATTCTCTTGGGACTTGAACTATAGTCTAAACTCCTGTAAGAGGGTTATATGGGAGATTATCTGGGGGAGTAGTATATGTGTTAGTAAGGGGAATATTGGGGGGTTGGACTAGAGCTCATTCAGGTTTAGGGCTTGGGGTTGCATGGTCTTGGTCAGGTCTTGGTCGTTGTGATGTGGGGCTTCGGGCACGGCGCTGTTCCAAGACAAGGAGTTGTCAACATACTCCGTGTTATGAGTAGCATGAGGTGAGTTCCAGATACACGTGTATCTATCTTCAAGGAACCAATCTCTTACTCACCCCATTTTGAAATTGCAGTCATCATCAAGATTCAGGGTCACGTTGGCAGCCATCATAAAGGCATCAACACGAAGAAGATGATCATTGCGCTTATGGCGATGGGATAGGCTTCTCCATTCCAGCACAGTTCCCAATTTTTATACTTTGGAATCCCATCCCCTAGAAACACAGAACGCCCCCGCCCAACACCCCCCACCCCCAGAGAACATATTTTGTGAATCACATCATGTGCCATACTCCGAGAATCTTCACTGCTCAGGTTGGTTTTGGAGCAGGGGCCGGCGTTTTGAAGTGCAGGGACTAATTGGGAAAATTGTGTCTTCATGATCCAAAGCCCTGACCGTAAAGCAAAAGCCCTAAATCCGACACTCTATTGTGTGCAAGAGGCTCGCTACTTATAGTTCAGAGCCTCTAGCTTGCTTCTCTGGCACTACCAGGGTACAAAGAAAGACATCAAAACTCTACCCTCGTTCCAGCAAGCATGGATCCCTGTTTTGGGAAACTAGCATTTAGGCCTCCTCTAGTGAGAGTTTAGTCCTTGTAGGAGCCCTGTTGGGGTTTGACGTCAGTTTGCGGGATGGCATTACTTGCGCAACTTCCTCCTGACTTGCATGCCGGCTCATACATGATGCAAGAACTCTGACCTTACACGATCCGACTTCTTTTCGAAAAGGATGTATGAATACAACCTTTGAAACCATTCAAACCCTAAGCCATAAACCAAAGTTGTCCAAGAGCCCCGGTACACTATCATCCTGGTCAGGCAAGCTGCGTACCTCAAGGCCCTTCTTAGGCCTCAGCGAGGGATCGATGAGCAAATCCTGGATGGCCTTGCTTGCCATGCAGGTGAGCGCAGTAACTTGAAACAGAATTCTGGAACAGCTGAAAGAAATCCCCCAACCCAACATAACGACCCGTAAGAATCTGCATCGCGCGGAGAAGTACCGCCAGAAAAGGGATAGGTGGTGGGTTCAGGGTGGGCTTGGAGGTCAGCGCTCATCTTATGCGTGAGCCAGGGCTTGAGGTAGAATGCCTTTAGAACCCTCAACACTAAGTTGAAGCTGCGTTAGTCTGCGTATGCCTCGAAAGAACAGAAAACTCAGGCTGTGCCAAAACCCTTTGTTTTTTGGCTCTTGGCTCAGATGTCAGTTCCCTGGCTTCGCCTTGGGTTCCATTTTGGGGGTCCCCAGAGTAAGGATTCGAATACTTTGGGGTCCATATTGGGGTCTCCTATTTTGGGAAGTTAGGGCTGAAACAACTCAGAGCTGCGTCAACATAAGCCTTCAGCAATGTAATTTCACCCCTTCCCCTAATATTAAATCTCCGCCTAGTAGGGGAGCCCTTTAATATTAGGGACAAGACTGTAAAAAAGGCAATGAACTTGACAACATCAAAAGTGTAGGGCTTTGGGATCCAAACCTGGGCTAGAAAAAGCCTCATTCCGCGGACCGCTTCGCACATGGGGGGCTCCCAAAATTAGGGCTACCTTTTTGGGTGGGGGTCTCAAATCTAGGGATCAAAATGATTTGGGGTCTATATTGGGGTCCCCCTATTTTGGAAAACTACCAGCTGGCTGTTGTTGAATCAGACACCACCAATCAGAACCAAATTGCAGTGTACAGACGTCGCTAGGATCTTTGGAGCCTGCATCGCTACTCAGAATTGGAAATCCTGTTCTGCCCCAAGGTCAAACCAAGTACGGAAAAGTTCCTCTAAATCCTAAACCGTAAACCCTTAAACCCTAAACTTCTAAATCCCAAAGCCTGGAACCCTAAATCCCTAAACCCTAAGCCTTAAACCCTAAACCCCTAGGCCCTAAACCCCGAATCCCTAAACCNNCCCTAAACCCTAAACCGCTAAAGGGTAAGAGTTCCTGCCTCATTGTAGATCTCGATCATGGACACAGTGACTTCGTACCTCGCAGGGAATGGGCAGGTGGGATACCCTTCCTATGAAGGGGACTAATGAACGACTATAAAATGACTATCGCTGGGATCCATTACCTCCGTCCAAAGGATACACCGTCTTGCGGCTTATGTGTGGAAGAGCGCTTGAAGAATTCATGGTGCCTTGCTATCTGCTGGCTGCGCCTCCCCTCACGGAATCCTGAAACCTAAACCTGCTAGTGTTTAGCAGGGAATAAGGGAGCATTTTGCACAGGGATTATCATCCCGTATTCTCTACTAACCACCGATACATATGAGCTATAGTCTAAACTCCTAGTATCCCCTTAATAACCCCTATGGTAGTCCCCTATATAACCCCTTTAAGGAGTTTAGACTATAGCTCATATGTCTGGATATGTTTGTACCGTCGCCTGC